CCACAGGGCTCTTGAAAGTAGGTAGTGTCAGTGTGCCGATCTAGAGCTAGCTTGGTGTAGGCAGTGTCACCTCTGGAAAAATCTGAAGTGAAATACCACATCCTTCCATAGATGGTTTCTCTGACAAGTAAAATCAAGAAAAAACTATTAGCTATTTGTAATATTTAATTTTAATGTAATATTTAATTATATTTGTAATTTTATTCATCATTGTTTATTCTTAATATATATAATAATTGTTGTTACAGATTGCTATATATAGATGAAATTGACAGTTAAAGATGCCAATCATTGAAATTATGTCACTAATTAATACTCTAAGAATATGAACTGAAAATCACTAAAATGCACATTCTGAAAGCTCAGGGATCACCGCCCTTTGTTTATCTAATTATTTTAATAGCCTCTTCATTCAAGGCAATCCCCTGGGTTTATTTTCTTTTTATAGAAATAATGATGTGGCTGCTTACAGCAAGTGAAAATTTTAATTAATTTATATAACAACTACTGTCTTTCATTAATATTCAGATTTTTCAACAACAGTCATTTTCTAAAATAGAAAATCTAATAATCAAGTGTGTGAGAGAGTTTTCATATTATTCATATGTCATAGAGGTGTTTGCTTTCATTTAATTATTTGAACACAGAGGAACAAGAAAAAGAGAAAATGGTATTTTTGTTACAATTATGAGACTTGCTATATTAAATTTCTCCTGCAGGATAATAGGTTTGATTTTGCATTTATTTTCTCAGTAGGTTCAGATCTGAGGAAAAGATACTTTTTTGATTTGGGTTTTCAAGACGGATTTCTCTGTGCAGCCCTGGCTGTCCTGAATCTCATTCTGTAAACAATGCTGACTTGTAACTCAGAGATTCACCTCCCAGGTTCTGGGATTAAAGGACTGTGCCACAACACCTAGATTTGAGGAAAGGATACTTTAATCATTTAGCTTTCAGAGTTCCTTAAACCTAACAGCAAACAGGAAATGGATTTCCTCTTGAAACAAAAGTTTCCAAACTTTCTCAGTTGTTTGCTTAGCAACAGTTTCTTTTATTTGAGAGCTCTGAAAATGTGTTTCAAACTAAATGGCTCACAAATGCTATTTATTATGTTCTACTACCACTGTCTTCATGACCTAGCATATTTTGGTACTTTGGGTAACACAATGAACTAGTCAGACATGAATTTTATTAAATAAAAAACAAATACTATTTGTAATGAAGTAAATTTATGTCACATTTAATGCTACAGAAGATAAATCTGTATGAAAAATGGAAATTAGTAATGAAAAGAACACTTTATTTAAGATAAATAAACCAGAAGCATATTGCTTACTGTCACAGCGATCCTGGAAAAGTCACTGATTGGATCTTAGAATCAGGTGCTTATCAGTGAGGAACAGACAAGAAAATATGATTAAAAGGGTTGCAGACCAAAATACAATATAGGTTGTGAATATGCTAAATGCAATATAATGTATCCAATGAAGTATTAACAGCCAATCTATGATTGAGAGTTAGGTATCTATAAAGATGAAAACTGGGTGATTTTTAGAATCTCTCTATTTTTAAAATACAGTACAAATTCAGGCCCCTTTTGAAAGCAGAATGCAGTACAGGGAGGAAGTCATGATGTAAAGGTGAGTGAGGGACAGGGGGAAAGAAAGGTAGGGAGAGATGGAGGGAGGGACAGAGAGATTATTTTGGGGAGGGTGGTGGTAGTACTGGAGACTGAACCTGGGCCTAGTACTTTTGAGGCAGATGCTTCATGAGCTAGATCTTTTTACATCTTTTAATTGGTGCTCATGTAGATATTAGTTATTGTGCATTTCAGAGAGTTAGTAAATTACCTGATTAAACTGATCCTTTCCGCCAACTTCTCTGTATGCTCTTGAGTGGGAGGGACATTTTCTACAAATGCAATTCCATATAGCAGAAGGTTCTGCAGAAACTTCTTCAGTTCATCGTTTGTTTCTAATAAACTCTGGAAATCTATAGCTGGAACTTGGGCTTGCTGATAGAGTTCAGCATTCCATAATATTCTAGGTTGGATTACCTTTAGTTTCTGCCCTTCATAGCTATTTTTCACCAGCCAATCCAGATCATATCTAGTCACATGACCATCTGGCCCTTTTTAGGAGGAAAAAAATGATTAAAATAAAATTTAGAAATATTGACAACAATTTACTACTTTAAAATGTTTATTCTTTTGTCAACATTTGTCTTACATTTTTAATTGTTTGATAATTTTATAGATGCACATATATTGATCAAATCCACCTCCTATTCTCTCCCGTTCCAACTGTTCTTGCCCATCACTTTCTACTCAAATCTTGATGTGCACTATTTTTAAACAACTGAGTCTACTTCATGAGTCTCTCCCTCATCCATGATGGGAATTTTGACTGGCTTTATTATGTGCCAAAAGTCGCAAAAACTGTGTTTTGTGTGCAAAGGCCTTGTCATGTCCAGCAAATACTGCTCTTACAAAGTTCATCAAAGAGTACAAGTACCCCCTACACACACACACACACACACACACACACACACACACACACACACATTAATATATTCAGTTGGTTTTGGAGTTGGACAATGGCTCTGTACTTTTCTAAATCCAAGTATGTTGTTAAAAGGAACATGCCGAGTTTCTGTCTCACATCAGGAGCCATCTGGTATGGGACAGAAGAAAGCCTAGGAACAATTTTACTTTCTCCATGCCTATTTTGTCTATATCATATTCTTCATTGAATGTATGCTTATATGAATAATGTTTAAGCTTTTCGTGATGAACATAGATTTTCCTACAGATCCTTTTTCTGCAGTAATCTTTGAAGTTTCCAGGAAGAAGATGGGGCTCCACAGCAACAACTCTACCTAGTTGAGATGACATTGTGATGCAGACAGTGCTATTATAAGACTGCTTTTTTGGGTACCAGATTTGGAAATGGTACACCATCTCATGACATTCTGGCCAGAACTTCAAATAAGAACTTGGAAAAAGAAAACTCTATAGACTACTTGGAAATTATTTGCAACTATACTAGACAGTAATTTTGAAACTTAACCATCACTTTAATTTGCAGGATCCCTTTAAGAGAACATTGCCACCATGACAGCAGGAAGCAATTCTAGAAGACAACCCCCCCCCCAAGAAAAGTTTATTTATAGAGTTGGAAACACTGTTTAGGGGTTGTTGATTATTACTTGTACTAGATAGAGGGTTAGGGTGAAAACTATATAGGGTTAAAAGGGGGGGGGGGAGAGTAATAGTGGGTAATAGAATGAATACTTGTGAGCTATTATTTATGGATAATTTACAATGGTATAGTTTTTGTATATTAACACAAGTTCAAATTATATCTGTTACTTTTGTTTATATTTGTACACCTATGCAAAGTTATTTTGTCAGATTGTATATATGCATGTTTCTATCTCTGTTTAGGACATTTTGTATACTGATACAATTTTTAGGTGTTTGAGATGGCATGTCTCAGCAGGATTCTAGACATCCACACAAAGAGATAGGCTGTACAATAATAACTTTAAGAAACACCTCCATCTATGGAAATAAGTAAACTACAGGATACAACAATAGTGCTTGAGACACTTGGGCCATGTTATCAGAATGAATGACAGCAGATACCCAAAGACAGCACTGCTTGGAGGAATGCACAAGATAAGGTGAAGAGGAAGACCAAAACAAAAACAAAAACAAAACAAAACAAAACAAAACAAAATGTTGGATAGACAGCATAAAGAAAGACTGCTGAACCTTAGGAATGACAATAACACGAGCATTTCGGATAGGAACAACTAGAGAGCTACCATAAAAGGGCTGCCCATGCAAGCTTAAGCACTGCCGGGGCAGCCAGGCAGTGGTGGTGCGCACCTTTAATCCTAGCACTCCAGGAGGCAGAGGCAAGTAGACCTTGTGAGTTCAAGGCCAGCCTGGTTACAAGAGCCATTTCCAGGATAGGCTCCAAAGCTATGAAGAAACCCTGTCTCAAAAAACTAAAAAAAAAAAAAATGCTGGGGCATAAATGATTATATATATACACACATTTTAAAATGTGTATAAGTGTTTTGCCTGCATGTATACGAGTGTACTGTGTATGAGTTTCGTGCCCATAGACCAACCCCAGAACTCGGATTACAGATGAAAGGAAACTGGCCAAATTACATACTCGTCAAGAGCAGCAACTGCTCTTAATTACTGATCCATTTCTCCATGGCCTGTTCTTATATTTTTTTAAAAAAAAATTTCTTTTATTTTTTGATTATAATATATCATTTCCTCCCTTCCCTTTCCTTACTCCAAACCCTTCGATACATGACCCACCCTCCATATTTATGGCTTTTTTTCACTGTTTTATATGTATATTTTCCTAAATACATAAATATAACATGTATAATCTATATGATGTTACTTTTATGTATGATTTCAGGGTTGACCATTTGGTATTGGAAGACAAGTTGAGGTATTCTTTCTCTGGTGTGGACTACATCTCCTCCAACTTCCAGCATTCCCTTGTTGCTTTAAGTTCTTTGTATAGGGTTGAGATCTTCTGGGCTTTTCCTCATCCATATTAACATGTCTACTGTTGTTGTCCTTGTTTAGTTCATGTGTAAGCAGTCATATATTGGTGAGACTTTAGGAGTGTGTTTGACATTCCTAAGAGACAGAATCTCACAACAAACTCCCTGCTACTCTAGCTTTTACTTATTAATATATTTTCTAAAACTTCTCATTGACTTTTATTGAGTTACCTAATTTCTCTATTTTTTCTGCCCCTGATTCTTTTGCTTCCTACATGATCCATTCTATTGGTGAGTCTTTCCATTGAGGGTTTTGTTTTTGTTTTTAACATTTTGAGTTTTTCCATTTCTACCAGAATTTCAGTTTGGCTTTTGTTCAGCAATTATTTTTGTTAAATTTTATTTTTATATCTTGGGTTGACTTCTGCATTTCATTTATGTTTTTGTTTTCATTCTTTTGGAGTACATTCATGTCTTTGAGTTGTTTGAACACAGTTGCAATTATTCTTTTAAGTTCTCTGCCTGGAAGTTTTTCCAGGTCATTTACATTTAGGTGCTATTATTATGTAATTAGCACTTTATGGAAGAGTCATACTGTCTTGTTATTTTTTTTCCTGTTCTGGGACTTGCACATCTTAAGTAGTATGTTGGTCAATGTTTTTCATGTTTTCCCTATGTCGTTCTTTTAAAACTTCTCCTTCTTTTAGCAGAGAAATTTACAAGGTCGAGATGCTCATTTTCCTCTGTGGGGCTTATAAAAGAAGTTCTGGAGTGGTGTAGGTAGGCTCAAGTAAACTAAGTCAGATCTTCTTTCTGAAGAAGGCTATGTTGGTTGTATTCCTGAAACTGATGTGGGATTTCCCTCTGTATGCTGTGATTACTGTTAATGAATAAAGAATTGTTTTGGCCCTATAGCAAAGCCATAAGGGGATAGAGGTAGGTGGGGAAAACTAGACAGAATTCTGGGAGAAAGAAGGAGTCAGGGAATCGCCATGTAGCCCCACCAGAGACAGATGCCAGAACTTTTGCCGGTAAGCCATAGTCACATGGCCATATACAGTTTAATAGAAATGGTTTAAATTAATATATAAGAGTTAGACAAAAAGAAGCTAGAGCTAACAGTTCAGGCCAAGCAGTGTTTTAAATAATATAGTTTCTAAGTGATTATTTCTGGGTTAAGCAGTCAGGAACAAACAAGCAGCTCTCTCCTCTTCCCACACTGAAACAAAATTCTTAGGAGCTATAGGTCAGCACAGTGTAGCAGTTCATGGTCCTTGCCTTAAGTGTGGCTCCTGGATATATAGGTAGGCCTAAAGAAGGGTAGGCCCTAGTTCTTCTCTGTGCAAGAGGGACAATATGGGTGGGCCCAAGTAGGGAAAGCCTGGTCTTCTTCTTGCTACAGAGGATATGCAGGCTGGGATCCTGGAGCAAAAATCTTGGGAGCTATAGGCAGGCCTAGTACAGAAGGCACCTGAAGTATGGTTTACAGAAGGCATAGAGGGCTTTCAACAGGGGAATGGTATGAATGAGGCCATTCAGGCTGGTACAGGCGGTTCCCAAGGAGGTATGGGTTAGTCTAAGCAAGGGAAGCAAGGTCTCTTTACTTTCTGCTGAGAATGTTAGTCCTTATGTGTGAAACCCAAGCACTCAGGAAGCTGGAGCAGTAGAATCACTAGTATGAGGCCAGGCTGATCTATATAGTAAATTTAAGGACAGTTGGGCTATATTACAAGATATTGTCTTAAAAATAAAGTGCAAAACAAATAAAGGCAGAACAAAGAGTGACAAAAGCAGCCATCCTTGAAATGTTTCCTAGTTAGAAATTATCCTGTCTGAAAATTAAGTATGATGTTAGCTGTAACAAAACTAAACAAAATCAAAAGGTTATTGAAATTGCTTCTAAAACAAGGGGGGAAATTCACTAAAAAAAACACACCCTAATTTGGAAAGAGCCAAACTATTTTTTTAAATAAAATCATTATTCTTTAGAAAAAGACCTAAGAAATCCAACAAACTCCTGTATACTTACAAGTGAAGATGAGTGTGGATTCATTCAGGCGAATGGTCTTTGGCTTGATACATAAATCCACACTGGCAGTATCCAGGCTCCGTTGATGAGTCTTAGAATTATAGCACGATGCTGAGCGGCAGTGGTCTCGAAGCCAGACATAATCAAAGCGCATTACAGCATTAGCATATTGCAGCTCTAAGAGAAAGATCAGATTTAACAGAAATATTTATTTAGGAAAATTAAATACCAATAGTAAAAACATTCTTTTTAAAAGACTTTTTACTAACAATTAGAGTAACAAAGGGCAGTCCCTTGGCAGTTGTTGAAAATACTATACAATTTCTATGATACAAATGGTATGATTTTGATATACAAGGCACATAAGACTAGACAAGGCTTAGATGTACATTTAAATAGGAGAGAGTGCACAAGATGTATTTTGTACTATTCTAGCAATTGTATTATGTCAAAGAAATAAAAAAAATGGAATCAACAGAAAGTAAATGACTTACCTACACACCAGTTTACCTATTTAGTGAAAGTAAAATTTACAAAAGCAATAGAAACTCTGTGTCTGGAAATGAAATGTAGAAAAGTAATATGAAGAAATCTATTAAATTATTCTAGAAGACTTGAAGGAAGCTAACACATAGAAATACCATGTTCACATATAGGAAATTTCAAAACTAGAAGAGATAAATTCACTTAGAAATCAATGCTCAAATTTCATGTACCAATCTATATCTTAGAGAGTTTCATATATTTAAAAAAATTCTAAAACTCATTTTGAAAAATGATAAAGTTACTCTTTTGCAAGAGAGAATATGAAACACCAGCTTTAAAAGCACATTATAATATTGTACTTTTACATATAATAGTACAGAATAGATCAAGAAAACAGAATGGCATTCCCAACTAGACCCATAAATACATGGAAATATGGCATATAAAAAAATGTGTCATTTTATAAAAGCACAAGAAAGATTGACTTCACTAAAAATGGACAGTGAAAAAAATCATCTGGGAACAGGAAATTCTTATCATTAAGAAATCAACTTCTGATGGGTTAAAATATATAAATTGAAAACTTTAAATCTCTGAAGATAGAAATTGAAGAAGATACTAGCAAATGGAAAGACCCTCCCATGTTCATGTATTGGTAGACTCAATATTGTGAAAATGACCATTCTACCATAAACAAGTTATAGATTCAATACAATTCCAAACCAAACCCCACAACATTCTTTACAGAAATAAAAATACAATCCTAAAATTCATATGGAACCAGAAAAAAATCCCAGATAGTCAAAGCTATCATGAGCAAAAACGAACAATGGGCTGTACCCTTTACCATTAATCATTAATTAAGAAAATGCTCCAGAGGCTTGCCTATAACTGTTAAGGAGACATTTTCTCAATTGAGGTTCCCTCCTTTCTGGTGACTCTAGCTATGTCAAGTTGACATAAAACTAGAAAGCACAGTTAGCTAAGTCCTCATTGCTTCCAACTCTCACTTCTCTTTTTCATCAGTGCTAACTACCTAAGGCACAGGTCTATAATCCTGGCACTCCTGGAAGCTGCAGATAAAAGGATCTTGAGTTTGAGGCCAACAGAGTTTACATAAGGAGAACTAGGTTAGCTTGTACTACATAATGAGACAATGTCTTAAAAATAATAGATGTATGGATAGATGACAGGCAGACAGACAGACAGACAGACAGATAGAAAGACAGACAACAATGGAAGTCCTGCTATTTGCCATGACCTAGATTGTTCTGCAGGACATAATGCAGAATAAAATGCAGCATGAATAAGAAAAACCCAGAGACAGATATTAGGGTTTAACCAGAAGTTCAGAAGAGCAAAACAGCCAGCCATAGGATTTTACCTCTACCTCAGACAGAAAAATGGGTGATCCTGCTTCAAAATATCCTCAGACTGAGATTCAGCTGATACCTGTCTCCTCCCATCTTATATTCCTCTCTGGTGCTGGGATTAAAGGAATGCAAAATCACCACCTAGCCTCTATTTGCTAACTATTGTGGCTTCTGGTATTAAAGGTGTGTGCCACCACTGCCTGGTTTATATGGCTGACTAGTGTGGCTGCTTTGCAGTGATCTTGAAACATGCTTTATTTATGAAAACACAAATAATATAGCACTATAGCTTCCTGTTTGTCTAAAATTAAAAAAGAAAGCTATGACTAATATAAGAAAAACTATATACAATGAGTACAATAAATATATACAATATATACAAGCAACAAATACAGCAGCAATGTCCAATCCATTTGTATTTGACAAATTCAGAGAAAATACTCCATATCTACACTTTTTTATGAGTCTAAAGTTTGCATTTAATTTCCTTTCTATCATAACTTGCTTTCTGAGTCTGGTAAACAAGGAAAACTATAACTATCTAGTCATCAACTTGCTCAGAGACCCAAGTGTAATAGAAGACTCCTATTTAATTTCTGGCCACCCAGACCTGAATTATCACACAGAAACTATATTAATTACAACACTGCTTGGCCGATTACTCAGGCATATTTCTAGTGAGCTCTATGTTATTAAAACATCTTAAATGCCATATTCTGCAGATCTCTAAAATGTTTGTAGACAACCTTTCTAAAATATATCTTTGAACTTGAAAACATACCTAATGTAACTACAAATATGATTTTAATAGATGATTAGCTACTAACCCGCATTTTCTTATCCTAAACAGATGGTAATAATAATTTTCAAGAACTAGAAATTTGCATTGCATTGTTAAGTGAGCTGTATAGGTACAATATCTTGAACAAAATTAGAAATGTATGTACAGTATGTTTTAACAAAATTAATCTCAAATTTGTATATATATATATATCCATTTCATTACTGTAGCTCTGTAATAGAGTTTGAAGTCAGGGATGGTAATGTCTCCGGAAGTTCCTTTATTGTATAAGATTGTTTTGGCTATCCTGGGTCTTTTGTTTTTCCATATAAAGTTGATTATTGTTCTCTCAAGGTCTGTGAAGAATTTTGGGGGATTTTGATGGGGGATTGCATTGAATCTATAAATTGCCTTTGGTAGAATTGCCATTTTTACTATATTGATTCTACCCATCCAAGAGCATGGGAGATCCTTTCATTTTCTGGTGTCCTCTTCCATTTCTTTCTTCAAAGTCTTAAAGTCCTTGTCAAATAGATCTTTCACTTCCTTGGTTAGTGTTACCCCCAAAAACTCTACCAAAAAACCCCTACAGCTGATAAATACCTTCAGTGATGTGGCAGGATATAAGATCAACTAAAAAAAAATCAGTAACCCTCCTATACACAAAGGATAGAGAAGCAGAGAGGGAAATCAAAGAAACTTCAACTCTCACAATAGCCAAAAATAGCATAAAGTATCTTGGGGTAACATGCTCTTGGATGGCAATTCTACTAAAAGCAATCTATAGACTCAATGCCATCCCCATCCAAATCCCATCAAAATTCTTCACAGATCTTGAGAAGACAATAATCAACTTGAAATCAGATTGGTATTGGCATAAACACAGAGATGTCGACCAATGGAATCGAATCGAAGACCTAGATATTAACCCACAAACCTATGAACACCTGAATTTCGACAAAGGAGCTAAAATTATACAATGGAAGAAAGAAATCAAAACCTTCCCATAACCATCAATTTGAGGAGATTCTCTTTTGGAAAGTTCTGTCTGATCAAATGAAAAGCATTTGTTAGTTTTATAGGTTAGTTTAGATTAAATAGCCATAGTGTTTAATGAACAATCATGTCTTTTAATTAAGAGATCTCACTCGTTCCTCTAAAATCTGTATCAGTTTTGATCGTATCCATAGCTTTTGAGTTCCTGTGGAAAGAAAAGCAAAATGCCTTACCCAGCATAACACATGTTCTGGTTTCTATTCTGAGGTCAGTACATCTTTAAAGTATATTGGCTGATTAAATTCTGTTGCTCTTTTTTTTTAAATTATCCAATGTCTCTCTGAAGCTGTTGTTCCTTTCTCATTAGCATTTGGAAAATTCAAAGTTAATAAAGCATTATGCAACCTATTTCTGGGGGTCTTTATTATCCCTTTCTGTTTATTTAACGGATCCTTCAGAGTCTGATTTGATCTTTCTATAACTGCCTGCTCTGTAGGATTGTGTGTTATACCTGTAACATGCTTTATATTATAACAAGCAAAAAATGTTTCATTTTCTTAGAGATATATGCTGGGGTATTATCTGTATTTATTTGTTCATGTATAGTTGTGACAGCCACAACTTCTAGGAAATGTGTGAATACTTAATCATCCTTTTCCAAATTCAAAGCAGTTGCCTAATGAAAATCTAAATAGGTAACAATAGTGTGGTGTATATATTTTAGTTGTCCAAATCTACAAATGGAACACATCCATCTGTCAGATGTCATTCCTTTGAGTACCTTTTGGTTACTTCCTGCAGGTAGTGATATTCGGTTGTAAAAGAACAAGTAGTACATTTCCTTATAATTTCCTTGGCTTGTTGCAATGTTACAGAAAATTCTCTTTTTAAACTTTTGCCATTGACAAGATGGTTCTTTAAAATGAAATTCTGAGGCATTCAGCACATTTACAATCAATCATTGACTGATTTCTGTATTAACTTGTGCTAAAGGACCTGGCAGACATATATGGATCAGATGTGTTTTTATATATATGGGATGAGTCCTATTCTTGATTTTATTTTGTAACTGAATAAATAATATTCAATTATGTATCATCTGGTATAAATTAAGTGATTTTAATATGCAAAACAATTCTTTCTGCATACTGTAAATCAGTAACTATGTTGAGAGGTTCTTTAAAATCCCTTAGTACCATGAGAATAGCATATAAGTCTGACTTTTGGACAGAATGACAAGGGCTTTGATCCAATTTACTTAAATTTTCTGATTTGTAACCTGCATTTCCTGACTTATTTGAATCTGTATAGAATATAGATGCTCCAGTTATTAGTGTGTCCTATACAATACGAGGAATGATTCAGTTAGCTCTTTTTATAAGTTGAATTCTCTTGAGTTTGGGATAGTTGTTGCTTATCTCTCCCAAAATTACTTCAAGTTGATGTGAGATTCCCATCTATATGCTATGAATATGTTTTATTACCATTGGTTATTAAAGAAGATGTTTTGTCCAATGATTTAGTAAGAGTAAAGCCTAGTGGGAAATCCGAACAAAGATATAG